AGATAAATGTATGACTAATACATATATGTGTGGTATTTTAGACCATGAAAATGGATGAGATTACATGGTGATGATTGTTCAGGTAGGTTTATTACTTATAACAAAGTTCCAATCTCCTGAGGGACACTGAAAGTAGAGGAGGCTGTGTATGTGTGATAAGTTACAAATCACTAGACCTTTCTCTTAATTTTGCTATGAACTTAAACCTGCTCAAAAAAATGAAGTCTATTTTTTTTTAATTTATTTTATTTTTCCTGGAACCAGGGATTGAACTCAGGCCCTTGCACTTGCCAGGGAAGCACTTATTCCGCTGAGCCACCTGTCCACCTCCTGAAGTCTATATTTTAATATTTATTTATATGTGTATTTATTTGGTACAGGATCTGGCTACACAGCTCAGACTTATAGTGATCTCCCTGTCTCAGCCTCCCCAGCACTGGGATTACAGGCACACACCACTATGCAGGGCACACACAACATGTGACACCAGAGATTGAACCCAGGTCCTGGCACTTGCCAGGCAGGCACTCAGACTGCCAAGCTATCTCCCAGCCCAAAGTCTTTTTTTTTTTTTTTTTTTTCTTTTCTTTTGGCGGAACCGGGGATTGAACTCAGGTCCTTGCGCTTGCCAAGGAAGCACTTATTCCACTGAGCCATCTCCCCAGCCCCTATTTTATTTATTTATTTATTTAGTGTGTGTGTGTGTGTGTGTGTGTGTGGCCAGCTCAGCCCACCAGGGGGCGGGGCTGGCTGGCATGTGGTGCTGGGGGATTGAACCGCGTCCCTGTGCTTTGCTTAGCTTAGCTTGTTCTAAGTAGGCGCTTTAGACCACTGAGCCATCTCACCAGCCCAGCCCCTATTTTTTTTTCAATGTGATTGCTTAATGAGAAAATGTAAACAGAAAAATCTCTAGATTATCCAAAAAAAAATTAGAATTTAAGTAGATGAGAAAAATCTTTAAAAAAAAAAAATGTAGGGTCAGGGAGATAGCTCAGTAGAATAAGTGCTTGCCTGGCAAGTGCAGGGTCCTGAGTTCAATCCCCAGTACCACCAAATAAATAAATAAATAAATAATCTAAGAAAGATCTAAGAAAAATAAGAAACAAGTCTTCTAAGAAGAATTAGACAGGAGAATAGGACGAACAAGACTGGTGTTGGGCAAGCCTAAATGAGAAGGTACTTCAAGGAAGAAGTAGAAGCCAATTGCTTCTGAAGCTATGTGTATGTCAAACAAGATGGTACAGGGATTCTTCCCTGTCCCGTTAGCTGGCGATGTGGTCACCACTGTGATAAGAGCAGTTTATATAAGCTTGGTGGATAGAGGGAGGTGGGGAGAATGGAGGGTGAGGAAATTAAGATACCGTAAGCAGATGATGCAAGGTACAGCTCGGGGAGTAGATGAGGTGTGGAACCAAGAGAGGGCTGGCTTTTTGTTAACCTGAAATATACAGCAGCATGTTAACATGATGAACAATCCTCAAAAAGCCAGAGATTCATGATGGGGGGGAACAAAGATAAAACTAAGAATTCTGTTTTTGACTAATTTTGCATATTTATATCTGGTAATGTGAACTACTTTGAAGATAACAATATGCACTAGAACAACCACTGTTCATTTCCTAACATTTTGTTTTGAAACTCTGGACCATTTTAAATGTTTTTTTAATTTTCTTTAAAATAAAGAGTTCGGGGCTGGTGAGATGGCTTGGTGATCTAAAGCACCTACTTGGAACAAGCTTAGCAAAGCACAGGGACTGCGGTTCAATCCCCCAGCACCACATGCCAGCCGGTCCTGCCCCCTGGTGGGCTGAGCTGGCCACACACACACACACACACACACACACACACAAATAAAAATTAAAATTAAAAAAAAATTTAAAATAAAGAGTTCCAAGCAGCATTATTCATAAAA